CACATATTGCCAGCTTGTGTCCAACTTTTCTTCCACCAGTACCCCAGTACTTCTTAGTACTTCTTAGCAGGGCTGTTTTCCACCTGTTCGTAACCCAACCTGTACTGATACTGGGGGTTTCCCTGACCCAGGTGCAGGACCCTGCACGTGGCCTTGTTGAACTTCATGAGGTTCTCATTTGCCCACTTCTTAAGCCTGTCAGAGTCATTCTGGATGGTATCACTTCCCTCAGTGACAATACTCAGTTCGGTATCATCGGCAAACTTGCTGAAGGTGAGCTCAATCCCACTGTCTGTGTCATTAATAAAGATACTGAACAGTACCAGTCCCTGAGGGACACCACTTCTTACTGATCTTCCTTTGGACATTGAGCCATTGACCACAACTCTTTGGATGCGGCCACCCAGCCAATTTCTTATCCATTGAGTAGTCCATCCATCAAATCCATACATCTCCAGCTTAGCAACAAGGATGTTGTGTGGGGAATAATAGTTTCCTAAAGGAAATTATAGTTTTCTTTACATTATTACTTATCTAACTGATATGTGCAAAAGATTTAAATTAAGTTTTAATGCATCTGTAATGATAAGCATTTTATGAGCTCCCTTTGCCTACTTTTCCTTTTTGTCAAGTTTTCCTCTGGAGACAAAAAGCTCATTCCTACCATGATCCTGAAGCTGCTGAGTGGCTATGGGGAGTCATTTAAGAAAAAAGAAGAAACCTCTCTTGAATGACATTGCATCCCTCTGAAATAGAAAGTTTGACTGAAGCAATTCACTTTGCACATTCAGAGCTTAAGATCTTGCTCTAGAAATTCAGGTTACAACTGTGTATCAATTCATGTTGTTCCTGCATGCTGTTTCTGTTGATAGTAAGACCTGTTTGAAACAAACATCATCTTGTACTATCTTTATTCTGAGGAGCAGAGGTTGTAAGGAGGGCAATACAGGGAAAAATTCCTGTGGTTTTAGCTAAATTACTCAGACAAAAGTTTCTTTAATGGATTGTCTTGAAAATGCAAACAGCAAAGCCATTGGGAAAGAAAATGCTTTTAAAAAGTGACTGCATCTGGTTTTGGTACAGTCAGATCTCTATGGGCATCGTGGTCTTGCTTTTTAAAACATCTGTTTTAAAAGTTATGTGATGCTGAAACTAATATTGTCACTAATAATTTTAGATGCTAAGTGTTTATTACTGTTGGTGCCTTGTGATAGTCTGACTTGATTTTAGTGTCATTTAAAGAGACCCAGAGAAGAAAGATCATCCTAGGGTAAAAGCGTAGGCTTCCGTTCAGATTCTGTTTTTTCCCACCTTCAGATTGTGATAGTGTTATTTTTCTGGTTCCCCAGCCTATTGTGGATGAGTTAATGAAGGCATGCAAGGTTCTCAGAGTAGTAATCTGTGTTTTATAGAAACCTATACAGTAAGTATTATTGCAGATGACAGACTCAAAGGACATTCAGGTGAAAACATACATCCTGTTCCTATATTCTGAGGATCTAAAAGAATAACTCTTGCCTGCTATGAAGCACAGCTGGTCAGAGCTAGAAGTCTGACTATGAGAGATAGGGAAGTGTCCATTTAATAATGGATGCTCAACAGCAAATTGCTTGGGATTTCTGTTGTACTTTTTAGTGTGACTTAACAGATTTTGTGTTGTTTTTTTAAACTTCATACAGGCAGGGTTGGCTTGTAGCCAGAGGATAGCTCTCGGAATATTCCTTTGCTGAAAGTAGCCCAGTCATCGTACTGCTCTGCATCTGGCTAATTTCAGAAGGGATCTTCTCTAGAAAAACTAAACTAACCTTTAAATTTCCAGGAATATAAATGTATTCAGTAAAAAGAAAAATATTCTTTAGTTGTCTATGACTGATTGGCCTTTGTGTAAGGTAGTTTTGAGAAGTCTTGGAAATCTACAAATATTTTACTACAAGGCTGTGCTTGCCGAATAGCTATAGCTTTATTTCTCAGAGGCTGGAGGGAAAAAAAAAATGAAACAACAAACCAAAGAAAAAAAGAGGATTGGGTTTTTCTGAAAACCATGAGTGATTAATGTTTACTTGGCAAAATGTAAATACCTCTTTAATAACAATACTGTGATTAAGGCTTTAAGAAACAAATCTCTTTTCTAAAAGTACGGCTCTTTATCGCTTCATCCAAGGCATGTCATTCTTCTTCTCTGGAAGCTGTCACTTTAAAGTGTAATTTCTGTGGGAGTGATTAATGCCTCTGGTGTATTTTCAATCTCCATGGTACCTGCAATTAATCCTTCCAAAAATGCTACAACAAAAATGATTGTTCTCATTACTTTATGGAAGGGATGCAGCGGGGAAAAAACATCCCAGAACAGATAAAGTCAAAATAGGACTACACCTTTCTCCTACAGGCCGTTAAACCAGGCTTTCATGTGTCTCAGAACAATCCCGATATTCTGATCTCTTCTCTAATGGCAGCTTATTATTACCTTAATCAGTCATTGGGTGAGGTTTACAAACAGTCTTTAAGACAATAAGCAGAACCTCTATTTCTTTTCTCTTGTAGGTGTGTGTCTCAGTTGTTCAGTTATAAGTCATTCTTCTGTCTAGTCCAATTAATCATGAATTCTTTCCTTGCACGGGGTTTCAGTAGATGGCAGGAAGACTCTCAGTGCATGAATACTCTCTAGTTGTATGAATAGGAAGTTCTTCACAGAGTATATACCATGTGTGGCTGTGGCGGGGTGAGAGTGTTGAATCTCTTAAGATTTGAGAATTGGCATAGGACTGTTATCCTGGATGAATACCTCTTGGCTTAAAAGATTTGGCTTTAGAGTTGGAATTTTTTTGTATTGTATTTTTTTAAGACTGGCTTTGCAGTGGGGTGCTCAGTTGTGTTACTGTTTGCTCAAATTGGGTCCATGGGGTCTGATGCTTTTGAAAACTGCGTTTATGTGTAGTGCCTGATTCATCACCTTGCTGGTATGGAAGCTTTTTTTACCATCCACACATCTGCAGCTTTTCGTGCCTGAACTTGGTAGGCCTGTCAAGGGGTTTTATGGTTTTATGAGGGGTTTCGTCTTGGATTTAGGCTTGTAATTCTGCATCATTCTGCTTGTTTATTTGGGCCTCCTTGCCTTAATAGGTTTCCATCATTCTTGCCTGAATGTCAAACTGGCCTTGGCATAACCTTTAGGGCAAGGAAGTGTCAAGTCAAGGAAATACTCTGTAAGCCATAGTCATACTGCTAGTTCTGCAGCTGTGTAAGCCCGTTGTATAAACGATTGCGATGTGCATTTAGATTAAAAAAAAAAATAAAACCTTAATTCCACTGTAGTGCAAAACCTTACTTCAGATCCCTTCAACCTTGACGTAACCAGTACGTGAACACGCAGTAGCCAAAGAGATCCTCCTTAGAATTGTGCATTCAGAATCCTTTGTGAGGGCAGTATGTTCAAGTGAGTTTCCTCAGCACCTCTCTGCATATGAGAGGGGCTTTGGGGTTCTTCAAATGTCTCCATATGGTATTTCCTATGTGGTTCATTTTGCAATTTCATTCTTTTTTTCAGTGGTACAAAAATACACTTCCTAGAAGTTTAATGGAAGGTCATTTACTCCTACAGAACTGGGATACCAATCATAGTGTTTTTGGAAGTACACAAATGCCTTTCTGAGCTCCCCTTTCCTGCTGTGGACACTAAGCACACATAATTAACATGTTTTCTTTAGGAAGCCAGTTTCTTGTATGCAATGTAGCTGCACTGTCTTTCCAACAAAACTGGCAGAGTGGTATTTGTACTACAGCTGGCAACTCAGTTTTTCATCAGTTCCTGATTCACCAACTAAGCCCAGGTGTTTCCTGCCACTGCATAAACAATATGTTGTTACTTGTATGGGTTGTAACCCAGAAAAATAACTGATTGTAAGTACAGCCGAGTAATGTATAACTCAAGAAATCTGCGCTTATCGTTGCCAGATGGTCATCATTCACTGCAAAAAAAATAAAAAAGGAGTTTTCCATTAGTGTTATCATACACAATTCTAAAATCCTAGCCAGAGGGTAAATAACTTAAATTTAACTTAGTGCTCAATACTGTATCCTTTTTTCCCACAGAGAATTTACTTTAATTAATATAAAATCCACAGTGTTTTTTTAATTCAGTTGGATTGTATTGATCATCTATTCTTATATGAAGCTTCTGTATTTTTTTCCACAGAGATGGCAAATAAATCTTTTTGTGAACACAGAGAAACAGCTGATGTATGTTTGCTGTGCTATTTTATACTGTGGTTTGTATTCCTTAAAACTTTTTTCCATACAAAGAGTGTAATAAATTATCTTTTGCTTAGTGAGGCATTTGGTGACATTGCTTGGGTATGTTTTGTGTCTGCACCACAATATATACATATTTAGAGAGAGAATTCACATGCACACAAGGACTTGCTACCTTTAATGGAGGACTGTTGTGGCTATTGCGGCGACTTGGACTGTTTCAGCTATCGCCTGTAGTGGCCAGTCTTTTTACTCTTGTCAGTCTGCAGCTTCCAGTTCGTGTGGTTCAGGTCTATAGGACTCTTTTCTTGCTCTTGCCATTTTTCTTTTTTTCAATATCCCTAATAAACAAGTCCAGAGCTCTGGTTTGTTTAATCTGTGTGTGGTGTCAAATTATAGTTCAGAGAATTCTTGTACGTTTTGTTTACTGTAATACAGTGTGGAGATAATGGTTAGATAAATGTATCTGCTGATTTACTGGTCAGATAATTCCAGGTGCGCACTGGGGTAGTATAGTTCTTTTTTTTAATTGAATTACTGTATCTTTCTACTTTTTCTTTATAGTCTCATGTAATTTCATCAGAATTCCTCCCATGCTCTTAAACTGTGTTCTAGTCACTTGGTGTGTATATATATATCATGTATGTAACTTATCTAAATAATTTATGACTAACATACTTAGCATTGTTTTAAATTCCTTCTGATGATAATAGGAAAAAATGACCTCATGTGTGACACTGTAACATTCTCTCTTTTCTTATTTTTCAGCTGTATGGGGAAACTTTGTCAATATGAGGTAATGTATATAATTTTTGTATTGAATATCCTTATCTTAAATAAATTAACTTAACCTTTGCCATCAACATGTGTCACTGTACATCAAGTAGGGAGAAAATAGAACAGCAGCTCAGACTGTTGTTTGGATGGTTGCTAAGCAGCTGATACCATTTTTTAAATACAAGGTGTTCAGTCTCAAAAAGGATTGTGCGCCTGCTGCAAATCTTGCCCAGGATCTTACTCTCACATCAGCATCTGCCTTTCTTTACACAAATTCATCTTCTGATTTTTGAAGTGTTTTCAGGCAAGTTGGTTGGCATAGCTGGGCACATAGGCTTGGATTCTGCTTTTCCTCAGCACAAATTATATATCAGTGACAATATAGGCTTAAACATTGAAGAGCAGCAGATCCTCCACTGCTTGCCATAATTATATTTCTGTACCTAGAATTAGAAATGGGCTTTTCCTCCTCCACAATTAATTGGGAGAGAATCTGATAGTTTAACCGCCGAAAAGCAAAAAAATCCTGCACTGTCCCCCAGAATGTTTGTCCTTAGAAATAGGAAGGCATAGCATGCACATGCAAAACATGCAGATTTTCACAGCATTTCTGCTTGCATGTGAGTATTTATCCTCTGGGAAAATTCACCATGAAGACACAACTGAAAGAGAAGGTGAAGAGAATAAGGGGACAGTGTTCCCTACAACAAAGTTTTTGTGCATAGAGGACAAAATATTTCACCATGTTTTGCTAGTAAAGGGTTTTGGTACTCTGTTGCCATGCTTAGCAGCACACAGTAAAGAAGTTTGAGGCAAAGTAAGAAAATGAATGAATTTTCTGTTGGCTCTGGTTCACCCAGGACAGCCTACCCTGGGATCTGTTACTATCCCGGGCTGTCCACTTTACTTCTCTTGGTGTTGCCCACCCTTGCTACGAAGTGTTCTGTTGTTAGGCAAACAGCTGCTGAGCTCCTGCGGCTTGCAGATGGAGATATCATTTAGATTACCATGTTATCATGACCAGCAAACTATGGCAGCTTAGCAGCTGTTACATGAGCAGCTGAACATTTCCAAAGGAAGGACAAGAACCACAGAGAGGGGTTTGAGGGGGGCAAGTGGGTGTGGGATTCAGTGTGTTCATTCCCTTATAAGTTGTCCTTGCAAATTCTACCATTAAATGCCTCTGACCCCTTATTTGAGGTGTCCATTGCAGAGCTATTGAGGGGGAAGACTTTATTTCTGGAGGTCTGATGTTGGTCCTCAGCCAATAAGGTTGTCTTTGTTAGGAGGAAGAGCTCATTAAAAACTAAACTGCAGAGTGCCACTCCTTAAGTTCCCAGATTTGTGAATAAACAATTGTAGGAACTGTTTTTGAGGGAATTTCTTTATATTCTGAGAGGTTTTCCAAATTTTCCTTGCTCATTTAGCAGAGAGGAAAGACTATGTATTCCACAGATTGTTTGCATAGCTTTTTGTAGATTTCTGTCATTTGGGAAAACATTTGAAAAATTCCCAAGGATTACTTAATATTGCTTCCTTGTAGTAAATTCATACTATGTTAACTGGAGGGTTTTTATTTGCCATTATTACAATAAATTACAACTTGTTTTGAGAAGATGGTTCCGTGTCTGTATGTCTTAGTCTAGGAATTTACTCCACTCTTCACTGATACGACAAAATGAACCTGGTCTCTAAGATTTTTGCCTCAGTAATAGACTGAACTGACTTCTTAGTAGGAGAGTTCTACAGAGGGCTATGAAGGGCATCATTGCTCTAACTTCCAACAGTGTGGCATGTGTATATCTGCTTAACAAAGAATCTTCTGTTTCCTTAGGTGTAATGACTTTAGGTCCCAAGTAAAGGAGCTCTGTTTTATTTGAAGGAACTCCCATTTTATGTTGGATACCCATGAATCCTCTAGTGTGCAAAAACTTAGTACTACAAGATAAATAATTCCCCTTTCAGAAGGTTTAATTGAAAAACAATAATTATGCAAACTTAAGGAAAATCACATAGACTAGATGCAAGAGATAAAATTTAAAAATATATATACTATACTTGTAGAAGTTTATGCAAGGAATGAACACAACTAATTGAGATGCTTTATACAGATGCTAAATGATACCACAGATTTGTGCAAGACACCAACTTAGACAGTACTCTGTTTTCACAAGTTACCTTGACATTCTTCATCTTTCAGTGATGAAAGTGAATCAAGAAAGAAAGATGAAAGATCAACTTTCAGTGATCAAGTGAAGCTTGTGAAACAAGTAACATTTGTGCGTTAAGTCAGTATTGCCCATCAGATGGTCACCTAAGTTTTGGTATAGGTTTTTTTCCCATGTTTTTGTAAAAGTTCAAAGTCTAAGCTAGGCATGTTTGCCCTTTTCTTTTTGATTGAAATTACAGTTACAGTTGTGACATTGAAGGAAAATGTTTTGTTAGCATACTTGTAGCGTACAGTAAACAGAGACTCTCAAAAAGACATCTTAGGCATTTGCATAGTAAAGTTACGCTCAGAAACATTTCTGCTGACCCTACCTTAGTGCAGTAATGAGACTTTTCTACAATGAAGTTAATTTTCCTATAAAATGAATGTCATCTTTACTGTTATTACTCTTTCATGTGGACTTGGTTCAGTTTCTGCTAAACTTGGTAACAAGACTAGCTGATTTCAACAGGAATTGGACCACCCGCTTTCTTTTGCTCTGAGTATGTCTTTGAAATAATATTAACTTGGGATGCTTTGAAGATATTGTTTTAACAGGAAAAACATCATGCAGGTATGGTGGAGCAACAATGGATTCATGTTTTTTCTTTCTTTGCCAACAGGTCTCTTCAAGATAATGGGGATCAGAAGGTGGAAAGTAAAATAGAGGAGGTTAGTTTCCTAATAGTTGTAGTCTGTTTTGTTTTGAGGACTCCATTTCACTCATTTCATATTGAAAGGATATATTTGATTCCCTCTCGTTACTCTCCATTCCACTAAAACCAGAGCATTGGATTTGTGTCTGTATGTATTTTTGAACTGTTCTTCACTATAGTGGAGTTTCTAACATAGATTTGTGACTCTCATCTTTTTTGGTTTTTTTCTCTAAACGCTTCTTGAAAGTAATAGTTCTACTGTCTCATTTGCTGTAGAGAACATGTTAGAGTCCTCCTGAGAACTACTTTTTATTACTGAATGAAGGATATACACAAATTCTTCCCTCTGTCATTCTTACAAAATGTTAAGTATATATAAGTTTCATTAGAAATTTGAAACCTCCCAAGAATGCTTTGCTTTGTTCTTAACTAATGAACAAAGGTGGTGGTGTTTGTGGTCGGGGCTGGTGTGTAGTACCAATGCTTTAAGCACAAGTCCTGGCAATTTCTGGAGTAGGTATAGGTGTTGAACCCACCAGTGGTTCTGAACTTCTGTACCAATACCTCTGAATTTCCATTTGAACCTCAGTTTATTGTGAAATATTAAGAATGTGTGCAACAGATCTTTCTAATAACAATAAAGCAAAGAATTTAATAGATACAAAAGTATTTGAGGTCAATACCCCCTACCCCTTGTGTGAGTGTGTGTGACCATACTAGTGTAGTCTGGTATGCCTAGTGTCTTGTGTTCCAACAGGTTTATATAGCAATTGTTCCTCTGGACACAGCGAGAAGCCCACTGAAATTGCTTAAAATCAATGGAAAGACTGTGTTCTTAATTTATGTCTCCTGCATTCCTCTCTTTTTTTTCCTTAAATTCTGGTAAACATTGCAACAAACATTCTGAAAGTCCCAGTTGAGAATGGTAGCTCAGAGTTACTGTAAGGTCTGAGAAGTTGAGCATTTCTGGATCTAGTTATACAGTATCTTGAACCATCAGAATAAGTATAACTGTTTCAAGAACTATTTGCTGCTCCACAGAACTAAATATTTAATGAATATAAATGCCAGTATTGTATTTCCTCTTAACATGAATATGCAGCTTATTTCAGTTCATGGAGTTCCTGAATTGTCTAGCTCTAGCCAGTAACATTTGTACAAAACAAATTAATGGTGGTGGTTGATGCGTTGCTATATAGTATCATTTCAAGTGATCATCCTCTGATAGCTTGCAACTTATGTATGGTCCTAGGTGGTAAATTTTATGAGAAGGTTTTAGTAAACTTAAAAACAAGAGTTCCGGGACTTGTTGAAATTTGGCAGGACTGTTAGAAGTTTGGGTCCTGTGATAAAGAACCTGCAATTGATGCCGACTTAAGTGATTCTCTCCTTCAAAGCAGTGAAAATGCAAACAGAAGTCTTGGTAGGTAAACTAGACTTTCCAAGAAATTTCCTTTTAATATTGTTTTTAAAAGCTTAGGTATGCCCTCGAATCATGATGTAAAACATAGCCTTTGCACTGGAGCTAATGCCTCTGTTTCTGTGTCTTTGTACTCTTAAGTATGTGCATCTGCTGTCCATTTAAATAGTTGAGGTTTTATGGACTGTCATGTTGCACTGTTGCTCAATATAGCTTGCCTTTGACAACCTCAGACAAGTCACTTGTGACTTCACTTTGCCAAAGTGGCTTTAAACAAAAAGAGGATGGATTTAGATTAGACATAAGGAAGAAATGTTTCAAAATGAGGGTGGTGAACCACTGGCACAGGTTGCCCAGAGAGGTGGCAGATGCTCCATCCCTGGAAACATTCCAGATCAGGTTGGACGGGGCTCTGAGCAACCTGGTCTAGTTGAAGACGTGCCTGCACGTGGCAGTGGGGTTGGACTAGATGGCCTTTAAAGCCCCTTCCAACAAGATTCTGTGATTCTATGTTCTTACCAACAAGGCTATGGTATGCATGGCCTTGAGATGTTTTGTTTTCAGTACTAAGCTAAGGGGTTTCACATTGTACTAGGTGATTTGATTTCTGGTGAAAAAGGTTCAAGGATTTTTTTGACATAAAAAAATGTCAAAAGATGCTTTAAGATGCAAGTTTCTTGGAGTGTCTTCAGTGAAGCTTTTCATAGAGTACTGTTTGCTGTGGTTTTTGCTCTAAATGTTTTGTGATGTGAATCTTGTTCCATTCTTCAAAGATTAAATATTTTTCCTTTATTTTAGGCTGTTGCACCTCTAAGGGAGAAAATCAAAGATCTAGAAAAAAGGTATGTCTCTTTTGCTAAATTTGGGAAGCAGTTAAAAAGCACAGTTTCTGTTCTGTAGCAGTCAATTCTGTAGTTGTAGGCTTGAGAGAAATGTTTTGCATATACCCTCAGTACCTTTGGATTTTTTTCATGTCTGAGTGAGGATGGGGCCTTGAATGCTGGAAGACATTAATACTTAAGGTATTCAGGTTGATTAATCCTGCTG